ACACACACACACACACACACACACACATACACGCCCTTCACCACCCTTGGTTTCCCCCTCCGTCCACACCCCCTCCATTCAGCCTGGCCCCTGCTACCCCTCTCCTTCACCCCTCCCATCTGCTCTTGCTGAATAATAGATAAGATTAAAGAGTAGTGTTATGCTTTCCATGCCTTGTCAATAGAGTGGTGAAGAGGAGACATTCAGCCGGTGTACGTGCACAGTGTTGCATACTGTATAAGTATAGTAAACTGAAAATCTTTTGGGTTTTGGACAAACACAAAAGATGTAAACAATACATCAGTTTGTGACAGGTGAACAGTTTTCATTCTAGTGTGTACACCAAATGATCACTTCTGCTGAAATGGTAATGGAGTTCACTCACTGTGCAGCCCTAACCCATGGTGCTATTGAAACTAAACGTTGACCAAAACTACTCTTCTCAGACACTGTGTTCACCATATGTTCAGCATATTCATTAGAAAAGGTATTGTACCACATGTATTCAAAATTAATATTTAATGAGTCTTGTAGCTGCTGATAGCAAATGATAATCAGCTGTAAAATGTGTATGTATGTAATGTGTATGAGAAATGGTGAGAGAGCAGAGTGAACACGATTGTGATTTTGTGTTCTTACAGTTTGTCATACATACATAACCTACAATGTGTGTGTGCAGGCAGAGGGAAGAGTTTCATAACCTCTCCACTCTTACAGAATAACCTGCAGCAGCAGCATAATGAGCAGAGGGTTTCTTCTTATCCTCATGTGCAATGTTGACACTGACAGACGTTGTATTAGTATTTTTACAACTGTGTTGTCAGCTTTCTCTTCATGCAGATACATTCTTTATGCTAATGCAGCGGGTCAGTACAGATGCAGTATTCGTCTTTGTGAAGGTAAGATGTGTATGCACTTGTGATGGCAGTGATAGTGGGGAGTAGCTGGAGAGGACAGCACTGATAATGCCATGGGAGAAACTAACCAAACATCCCATGGTTCAGTGGTTTGATGAATGGGTTTTATGTGTTTTTGCATCTGTATATGGGCAGGAACGTGTGTGTGCGCGCGCGGAGACAACAGTGTTGTTTGTACCGTTGCAGTCGTCAATATGATATAAACCCTGAAAAGGCGCTGTGTCTTTGTCTGTCATGTCACTGGGCCCCAGGTGCACCAGACGCACATGAAGTTGATTAGTGATAACAAGAATGAATTGGCAGAAATGAGGCTCAGGTGGAAAAGAGGATCAATACTTAAGAAGAGAAAGCTAAAAAATGTTTTAATGTCACTTTCTCATGATGGGGATTTTTACATTGAGTAATTTGAAATTACTTCTTTTTATCTTCATTTGCACCACACCAAGC